ATATAACTATACATATTATATATATATCCAGCATCAATCCCCGCTTCCATGTCATCCCCATCCAAGCCCAGCCTGGAAGGGATTGCAGGCCATGAAACCCTCGTTCTCCACAGCGTAGGAGTTGGCCGCTTCCATGAAATCTCAGTGCCGAAGCGGCGGCTTCGGCGGTAGTGCTGGACCAAATATCGGAAGTCCAAAAAAGGGATCCCCAGGGGTGATAGAAAAGTTGTTGTTCCAGGATGTCTTGGATGATATTTACACATATATATATATACTACATAAACTCTAGGTGTCCAACTATTAATTAGATTGCCATGCGCGCTGCGCGAGCAGTTTGGAACTCAAACACTGGAACAAAATAGTTTAACAGTTGCGATTGTTTGAAGCCGAAGTCCCCAGCAAACCATATCCAATGGGAAAACTATTATCTTCCAGACATTTCCAGACCCGTTTTCTGCATTTTTTGTTGCGAATGTTTGGGGAACCAGCTGGCATACACCTTCATCCAGTGCTCTTATCATCTAACATTGGCGTAGCTGTGTAGCCCTCACATGGCCTCTGAAACCTTGACATGGCAACAAATCGAGATCCAGGATGATATTGACTACCCGGGACTACCCCGGATTCCTGGAGATTTTTCTCCCAAGTTCCCATAAGTTCCCTGAGATCAGCCGCAACCTGTGGCCCGGGCCGTAGGGGAATTCGCCCAGGAAAGTCGCCAACATGCTGAACTGAGCAGATGAGCAGATGCGCCAGCGCCATTTTTATGGGGTCGTCAGATGTTGAAATTCAGACGGGATAAAAAAAGGTTGGACACAACGTGACACAACAAGAATAACAAGATGATTTTCATTGATTTTCCAAAGAAAACATAAGAAAACGATAGTTAAACTTGGAACCCATCCAATCCCAGTTGCATCGTTTTTCCATGTTTTTCCACCCCATCCCCAGCTCCGGACCTCTGCCCCGGACCTCTCGCCTTGTCGCAATGCTTTCCAGGCTGCACCTGGATACCTGCTCCCAAAGGTGCAATCTCCAAGTCCTTGGCTTATGGCAAGAAAGGGCTGGGATGGGCTGGCAGCCGCCTCACAAAAAAATTGTTCGTTTTTGATAGGGAAAATTTGAGAAAGCATTTTTTCGGAGTTGTCTTTGGTTCAGGTTCAGAAATGTTTGTTTCGCAAAAGTCAGGAAGAGAGCCTCTTGAGGACTCTTAGCCAATGATGGTCAGCAATGCAGGTCTTAGCCAATGTAGATTCTGAAACTCATCCGACCTGCAAAAAGAAACAATAACTGCGAGAAGTTGTAGCTGAACATTGCACTTTGGATAGCAGATTATGGGTCCAGTTCACCCTTCGTAATCACCTTTCTACTGGTTGGTTTCTAGGGATTTTCATATCTAGAAATTATTCAGCAAACTCATCCCCATTATATATATATATATACTAGCTTATCCTCCCATCGCACAAATATGAAAGTCAATGTAGTAAATAGGTAGTCATCATGACCGTCACGATCACGATCAACATGATCATCACCTCCTTCCTCGGAATTGTCACGATCATCGAAAGCACAAAAACGTTGAAGTCACCAGTCAATGGTTATTTCAGGAACCTAAATTGGAGGTACCTACCATATACAAGGCCTATATAAGGCCAGAACTCAGAACCACCAACCAGATTTCTTTCTCAAAGCCACTGGTGGAAGACTGCAGACCATTCCAGCGATCTTCTCGACCAAGTCCCTGACAGAGTTCGATCAGAGTTTTCCAGTACCCCGGGCCCCAACTGGTGAAACTGGGTACGACAAGGTCACAAGCTACGACTGGCAAAATCATGCAAAATCACCGAGGAAAAACACTGAGAATTTCTAGAAATTACACCACCGTAGACCCCAAACAGTGGGTGGATTCAAGAAGTGTTTTGGGGAACAAGGTCAAACGCATGAAATAGCAGCAACAGGATTAATGAAAATATCTGCAAAAAGTGCCACAGACCACTTTGTATACATTTATTTTGTTCGGCTTCGCTTGCTTTGTTGCAACGCTAGATGCCGAAAAACGACGAAGGAAGCATCCGATGGGGGTGCAAGTATTTGGTTCCAAAGGCTCGAATTAAGCAGCATAGGGCTGTCAAATTGGATGTGTTGAAAACATCGAAGGATGAAAGTGAAAGATGACACATCATGTTACACATCATGTTCAATCCCGGAGCTCTGTGAACTTTCAAGTCTGCGCTTCTTAAACACGGAAATGATCTTGGTTCCTGACACTTGGAGCACTCATCCACACACATCATATTTCAGTCAAGCTGCGTGAAAATGCCATGCAGCGCCCCTGCAAAGTCCTTCAGGTCATCAACCGATTCGTGTGATTTTCACCACAGGAAATGCGGGGGAAAAAAAATCAGGCGATTTTGTTTTGACCATTTTTTGGGGTGTTGCACTTTACAAATGTGGCACTGTTCCACATTCCAAAGATTCCAAGACTCTTTTTTTTGGAAGTGATCCAGCAGAAGGCTGTTGGCTACATCTTGCTCGTTCATACAGATTCCCATAAGCTGGTGCGCCCCAATTTGTAAGATGGTTTATAAATCCCATTGACTATTAACTATAATAGATATATCATGATATATCATATCTGCACCCGTCATCCTAGTTAAGCTACTTATACAGTAAACCAACTCAGCTAACGAAACTGGGGCACCAATTCAGGGCATGGCGCTGCCATTGGACCTGCGGTATCTCAGAATCTAAGACCCGGATGAAAAAACAAAAACGTTGCTCCGATGAAGTGTTGGTGTATGTTGGTGTACCCAAATGTTCTTTGAAACTTCCAAAAGGCCATACCCTTTGCAACTTGGGTTTTCGTGTCACCAGTTTTCTTAACTTCAGTAGGAACCATGACTTGACGTTTCCCCAGGTCCACCCTCCCATCGGTGTCCCAATGTGCGACGTAGAGGTCGCGGTTGATATCTCCTGAGCGGACATTTAAGCTGAATCTACCCTGAAACCCGACATGGCGCCCAAACATGGCTTTGAAGCGGATAGGTGTTTTTTTCAGGAGGTCTGATTTCCGATTACCAACCCCATGACTGACCCCTCAATCATTCTAGCCAGAATCACTCCCATGGAAGCATTACGACATCGTTAAGTAACCACATGTTCCCCACATTTCCCCACCAGATTTGTCCAAAATATGCCTCATCAACAGCTCCAACTCCAGCATTACAGCGCTCCTTGCATGCAGTCGTTCCAATCCGAGTAGAGCATGTTCTCCGGCGCCAGTTTGCCGCTCTGCCCGGCGATCTTGCCGAAGACGCCACCCGCACTGGCTGCCACCTGGGCTGAGAATGTGGGGATCACCCAATCAAAAAATGCCATAAACCACCCATGACTGGGAATGGTTTATACCACCTATAAAAATTGTGTTTTGGGGGATGGTTTATGACATAGTTTTACCCACATTATCATCAATAGAGGTTTTATGAAACCGGGTATATAATACCTCTATGACTAGGATGTAAAATTACCCCCTGTCATGGTTGCTTAATGGGATGGCTTCATGGCTATACCACAGGCGCAGCTCAAAGTTGTCATCTTCCATGTAAAGCTGCAGAATTTTGCGGGTCAAATCCACATCAATCATCTCAAATCTGGACAAATTACAGAAATTCGCCAGCCCGAGATCAGATGAAATAAGGACATTTTGGGAGGATTCCCCTTGCCTTCCATCCCCTTACTAAATCTGACTAACCCTCACTTCTCCAGATCTTAAATTCTCCATGTTCGCTGATCCTTCCCTTGGTCCCCAAGGTGCTGCACAAGGATGATAATCCACAAGCTCCTCAGGGAAGCTGACGGAGCCTGAGTAGCCTCCATGTTGGAAAATCCAAGTGCTTGGCAGATCTTCGAATTATCTTCGAATTACAGTAATATCAGTAATTCTCTTAGACTCTCAGTTCCGGCCTTCACTTTTTTGGGTGGTTTTGGCCCTGGCCCTTTTCAAAACCCCTTTCCTGCCTGGTCCTCTTAAGTAGTGAACAGTTCGCAACCATGGAGAAGAGCCAAAGAAACAATATGTGTATATATATATATACAGTTTGGGGATCTGTTGAACGGGGCCTCAAAAAATGACCCGTTCATGAGTTCATGAACGCAAAATGCTAGGGCTGAAAAGCCAGAGTTTCTCAAACGGCATCGACCTCCATCCACTACATGACTTCCATCACCAACTGAATGGAGGATTTTTTGGGAGATCGGTTCCATCTCAGAAACCAGGTGCTTGGAATGATGGGCATTCCAACGCTGTGATCAACTGAGGATATACATGGGTAGACCATGTATTGATTGCCGTCCGCAGGGAGGATCATCGGCCGAAATTGCAAAAAGCAGGGGATCTTCAGCTGGGTATGGCATATTCCACTATCTATATCAAAAAAAAGCACCTAGATTTTTGCAGCTTAAGTCTCTTCTTCTGGCTGATCCAATCTAATATTTATTTTTCCCTGGTGTTTCATCTGCATGATTTCTCTGAAAAATTCACATCCCCGGTTGAACTCCACTCATGATCTTTATGCTTCAATCCACATATTTTCCTCATATGTTTCGTCTTTTTTGAGGAAAAATTCCATGGGAGCAGAAAATCCATGAAAATCCTGTCAATTCTTCCTGTGAATTTTGCGCAAAATCCTAAAATCCATGTGATCCATGTGCCCCCCACCCCGCCCCACGTCGTCCTCATCCACGGTGCCTTCATCGGGTTCCAGCTTTGCTTCCTCCGTCACCGGCTCGTCATCCTGGTGACGACGTGCGGCACCGAAAAAGCCGCACAGGTGATGTTTGTGGCTTTATGAACCCCACAAATTAATCAGATAGATACAACATGATACAACAATAGATAACTATAGAATACTATGGAGATATCTACCACGAATCACCAGTGAAATGTTTAAGTTGGTTTTAGTTTCACCCAATTTCACCCCAATTTCATACCAGTTCATATTCAAAAAATACCAACCATAAATTCAAGAGTTCACCGAGTTCACCGAGTCTAAATCTCCAAGTCATCGTGCCAAGTCATAAGAGGCTCCTCCCCCTTGGTGGTTTCGATGACCTTCTTCCAGAGGTCTTCGTAGTCCAGGCACTCCTTGCGGCTATCGGACGTTGAACCGGGTTATCAGTTGGGGTTCATGGGTATAATCTATTGTAATTTACTAGGTATATTTTATGGTTATTGGGATACTCAGAATATGGTATATTGTAGTATTGTACAACCAAATACAATTTATTGCTAATGTATCCAGTCACAATTTATGGTATATTGTACTCATAATACTACAACCAGCATCAGTTGGGATATCATCCTTAATTTCATTCTAACCCTTCAAAAACCATGTCCAAAAAGCTGGTCTACAAATGACATCAATGGATACAGATCCTTTTCCAACATATTATCGTCACGTATTTTCACGGCATATCTTTTTCCAGGACCATCATTCGGAAAATCCAGAACCACCAAATATCAAAATCAGATGTTCCTTCAAAATCAGGCCTTTCAAAATGTACAGAATCCAGAATTGGTTTTAAGGTGAACTACAGGAACCCCCCCCTCATATTTGATGCTTGAGAAAACCGTTGTGATCCCGGTTCAGATGTTCCCTTCAGAGATTTTCCCTTCAATCACCCGCCGACAGAAGCAACAAGCACAGGCTATAGGGTTTCCCAGTTTCTTTTCCCTTGAGAACATCAATTTCTTCAGTTCAATCATTTGATAGTTAAACATGGTGTTCAACCCATAAAATAACAATTGATCCCATAGTTTTCCCATATTTTTTCCATCTCACCTTCGGCTTTTCCCCCGCGCCTCTGAGTACTTGGGTTGTTCCGCCTTGAAGTCCTGGAGCTTGGGCTTGGGCGGCTGCGCTGGCCGCTTGGGCGGCTTCAGCAACCTGGAAACGCAGCAGGGGAATGCAGGGAAAAATGGAGATTTTAATATGCTTTAGCGATTTTAACCATCAAATATATGGATTTTAACATGATTTAACCATCCAACAATGGATGGTTTTTGCGGAATATGAATGGGAATATGACTGGAAATTTTCTGGGTTACCCGCAAAGGTGGCATTCAATGTGGCTGGAACAGGCTTTTCCTACAGGAGGGTCATCCAAAAATGCTGGAATTTTCAAACAAGGCCACGTAAAGTCATGCAAATTTATGGTACCCCAGTCATGAGTCCCAGAACTACGTTAATGTCAACATTGGATGTCTATTTGCATCTAGGGAAAGTGACGATCAACCAATGGATATATTGGGTACCCCAAAAAAATGGAACATCGTGATTTGGTTCACTCTTTTTCTTGGATTTCACCGCGACATCTCCAGCTTCGCCATCGAGAGACTTCAATTGCGCCGCCAGACCCCCCGACCCGGCACTCATGTCCGGCACACCTGGAAGGATGCCATGATCGGCTCCCGATGCTACCGGTTTCCCATTTCGGGATCCAACAAACATATACAAACATGGCATTAACAGAATCAGGATTGATGAATTGAATATGATTGATGCCCATTGATCATTGAATAAACGACAATGGCTTGGAAGGGAACCTGATAAAAATCTGAGGCTTTCACTAATCATGGGAGTTGACCAGAAATAGTGGGTGTTTGATCAACATTGACTGACAATGGGTTGCTCGAAGGGAAAAATGACGGTTCAAACCATGGTTTCATCCCCAGATATGGGGGTTTCCTGCAGATGTTCTGTTCCAATTCAGGAAGAGATGAAAGCTGAAGCGGCTGTCCCTTCCTCCTGATATTGAATACCTCCCTAGAACCATGGTTTAGTATTGGGTCTGTTCATGTTGCGGCTCATATGGTGGTATTTTACATTAGGGGGGATAAGGAATTGCTCCAAACATTAGCGGAAAAGGTGGTGCAAAGACCGGGTGATAGTGTTAGTTATAGTTGCTACGATATTCACTGAAAATCAGACATGATTGGTGTCTAAAGGCTGCGGTTGAGACCACCCCCTCAAAAAATTGTTCGAGTTATTGGGCATCAATCTGATACCTGCCACCCTTAGATGACCCACCTCGAAAAAGGGCACATTCCTGACCCAGTACTCGCCCGTTGATGGGGTACGTTCCATGGCGATTCCGGTTGCTCCAGATTACACAAAAACCACCATCCTTCCAAACGGAGATGGATCTTTCATGCACTCGAACTGATCAAACGGTTGGTCCACAAAATATCACAGAATCAGAGGTAGCTACCAACCTTGTCCCCTTGCAACCTACCTTAACCTACAGAGAGTGCAGCATATCCCATGGCCAAGGTCGCACCTGTGACCTGTATACATATATATATATATACATATATATATTACCCTTAAGTGGGATGATAAAAAATTACACCCAAATGGTTAGTTGATGGGATGGTTTATTCTTGGGTTTACCACATGATTCCCAAAACATGCTTTTCGCATCAGTGCTCCGCCTTTCGCTTCGAATTCACCGTCGAAGTCCGTGACATTTGCCACCTGGAAAAGTCGGAAAGGTCGAGTCATAAACCATCATAGCCCAGCCGCAACCGCAAGGGTTTACTGAAAACCAACGTCTTCAATGATTATTTATTGTAATAGGAAAGAAAATAAATGGTTTTCTGTGGCGTTTTTCCCCAAAACATCCCAATGAATTCTGCAAATTACAGGTCCTTCTCCAAAACCTAGACCTCCCACAAGGCTACCTCCAGATAGATAGATAGATAGATGAATGATAGATAGATGAATGATAGATAGATAGATAGATAGATAGACAGAAAGATAGATAGATAGATAGACAGACAGACAGACAGACAGATAGGTTTATGTTCACCCCATTCATTACTTTGTTGTATCTATACACCACAAATCCATGCAAATCCCAGAGTTCACCGACTTTTCTCCAACAATTTAGGCGATGACCCAAGCTATGGCACCACAGTCAATCCAGGATCATCCCCCAATTTGCCAATATGGCAGTGTGTCAAAACCCTGGTACCCCTGGTGAACATCAAAATAGCTGGTAAATGGATGTGTGGATGTTCATCCCACTAAAAATGTATCTATAGGTATTGATTCATAGCCATATTCCATTCTTGTGCCAGTTGGATTCCAAGAAAAGCATCGTAGAAATCCGGCCTCGAATTGCTCCAGGATGGCACCGATCGGATTCTCTCCGCCAATCTTCTTGGAACAGGAGTTGCCGATGCACCAGCGCCCATCCTGCCCGAAATTCCCAAAGGCTGGCTGGTCATTGCCGGACATATTGAAATATATTGAATTATATTGAAGTATATTGGAATGTTCTGAAATATATATATTGCGGAAGCACGGGTAGCGGCCCAACAGCTATGGGGTTACCTACCTCTAGCTCCTAGGTCAAATGACCTCACAAACAACGCTCACCCTCTTTTCTACCATCCAGCCAATAGAGGCTCAAGGCCTGTCCAGCCGATATGCAGCGGCATCACGAATCACTTCCAACCTGAGGCATGAAAGGATCGACAGATGCATTGGAAATTTACACGCCCTCTCGTAGAGGCGGCTGCAAAGGCTGCTACAAAAACTTCTCAACAAATCTAACGCTCGCGGCGATAACCTCCAGCACCTCCATGGAATTCCAACCAGTTGATACGAAGTAGGAAACGGGCGAGATCGGTCGCCTGATTCTCACAAGGTTCGGAAATGTCCTTTCCGTAAGTCTTCACAATCCAGCTCATGTACTTCTGAACCTCTTTGTCATTCTTGGCGGCTTCCACAAGATTGGAGTATCTCCATCCCTTACTCTCGTACTTCTTCATGGTCAACTTGGTTGTGGACCAATCATCGATGTCTGTGACCTCATTCCCCAGTGGGATCTTCACATTCTCTTGCAGTTTCACACCTGGGAGAACTTTGGAAATGGTCAGCTTACCGACATGCTTGTCAGGATGCTGGCTGGTCACCTCGCTCCACTTGGACGAACAAGGACTGTCACCTTCAGGAAAATCAAAAGGATCGGCCACGTCACGCTGGCGCTTGCTGCCATCATGCATGCTGCCGTTGGCATGCATGCTGCCGGTGGCTCCCTTGGCTACATCATCTTTCACCAGGTCGCTCAATCCAGGATTCTCACGAAAGAGAAGGTTGAACAGCTCGGCACTCTGTCCATTCATGGCTGCACGAGTCACGAGGTGGCACACAACATTGAACTCATCTGGCGTCAATGGTGCGCTTGGATCAGACTTCTGCATCTTGCGAGACATTTGACTCGGAAATTTGAAGTCTCAGGCTCTTAGTTGCTCTAGGCTCACGGCTTGAGTTTGATGAAAACACTGCTGGCGGACGAATGCATCTATACATGTACAACGGCATCAGTCCTATGGTTTATATTATGATTTTCACTGCAAACACGACTTTGTCATTACAGTGCACTTGTTTGGAAAAACTGTACAACACATGTTGTGACTGGATGTCACTTTTGCTCTTGGCGGTTTCTGGCTCTCTCCTTACTTCCGGACTCTTGACATCTCTTTATTTGATATACCCCTGTTTCAAGCAAAACAAACAACAATCTGGTTTCCCCATTCAGCTTCGTAAGGCAGTCGGCTGCCATGTAGTTATTGTTTATCCAGTAGATTTCAATATTCTGCAGTTTCATGGCTTGACGCGCTATGGCATAGTCGATTTCCAATTTCTTTTCTTCACTGGTTGACGCACTGCTCAACTTGCTTGCAGCATCGTAAAAACCTCTGGAATCCACAACCAACAAGGCGGTGTGTTTTGGCACCTGCAGTCTGAACTGTTTTGGGGTTATACCATGAATTGTCTCTGCTAACAAGGCTTGAAAGAACTCAATTGCATCCATCGCATTGATTCCCCAGTCTACCAACCACATCGGTGCTTGCTTGCGGTCGCGCATGCTTGGATTGGTGAGACCTAGCAGGTAACCACGTTGTGAGTCTCCATTGGCACGTTTGGCATGGCCTGCATCTCCTATGCAGATGATACGCCACTGGTCAATCGGCACATTTGAAGGAAACTTAATGGTTATCCTACGTTCTTTCATTTCACGGAGGGCCTTATTAAACATGGTGATATGGCTGACAGTGCCCTTATCTTGTACCCCTTGAAGATAGGAAGCCAAAAATGCCTGGTCAGGCCGTGTGGACCCAGCGGCCCATGCCAGCTGTCCGGCACACTGCCGTAAGAGAGAAACATCACGTATCGGTGTACCTGCAGATCCCAAGGACTTGGTGGATATAGGCTGTAAAGAATCTATGTAAGCTTCCTGGCCTATCTCTATCTCATAAGTATGGGGGTTCTGACGGATTTCAATCCCGGTATACCTAATTGTGAATGTACGGTAATCTCCAATAGGCAATTTCTTTTTGAGGGAATCCAAGACTCTATCCATTTCTGGGGTTCCACCTCCCAAAAGATCGTTTACATGGACTCCACAAATTCCTATCAGTTCACCTTTCTTGTTTCTCAAGGTAAAAAGGCATCTGTCCAGCTGTGACACCTGTAGTCCTTGCTCGGATAGCTCAAGGCTTAGGCGCAAGAACCATGCACGCGGTGCCTCTGCCAAACCATATGCGGCTTTCTCTAGGCGAAACAGTTGGTCTCTATCAAGTTTCATCCATGACTTGATTTCCTCAGGCGGCCTAAAGTAAAGTTGCCTATCACTGGGATCCCCACTAAGGAAAGCAGTCTTTATATCTGCACCCCATATTTTCCACTTTTTGGCTGCGCAAATGGAAAGGATAAGATTTTTCGACTCTTTTCTAAGTGTCGGGCTGTCTGTTTTGATACGGCCCAGCTCTGGATCCTGCCATCCAACTAGCACTAATCGTGCCTTTGGGGTTTGTGAAGGATTGTCAGGGTGTGATGACTTCTTCCAAACCAATACCCAACGTGCACGGATAATGCGTTCTCTCGGGATTCCTCTAGAATGGCACAGTGATGTCACCTTGTTGTCTATCCAAGATTGCCACTCCTTTTTCATGGCTACTTCGAACTTTGCTTTGTCTTCTACGCTGAGTTTCCTATAGTTGACCTCTACCTTACGCTGCTTTGCTTTTGGAACCACATTGAAACAGTCTTCGATTACCCCCCACAGGAACAGTGGATTCTCAGCTATGTCATCTGGTCTAACCTCAATTGACACCTCCATGACCTCATGTTTGTCGGGAACTGGACATGCATCTTCATGTTCAAGGAGTAACTCATCATCACTTCTATTATTAGGAACTGGAGTGGTTATTGGGTTAGGTTCTTCCTCTGGTGGTGGATCTGGTTGTTTCATGGCATCGGCACCATCGGTTGATGGATCTGCTGGAGATTCCTGGGCTGCAACGCTCGGATCAGCATGAGAAGTTTGCTCGGATTGCACGGCTGGATCACCTGTTTCAGGTGCTTCGCTGGCTATTGACGGCTCATATTCAAGTTCTTCTGCTTCACTATTGATTTGGACTTTTCTTTTGGGGTCAGGTTCATTATCTATTGGGGGACCAGGTCTACTGGGTTTAAGTCTTATGACTGTTGGCATCTCAGCATCTGCATGTAGGGGTCCTAGAGGAGGCGCGCCCTCTGCCCTATGCTCCCAGTATTCAGGGGACCTAGTGATTCTCCTACGGATTTTTCTTGGTGCACCTTCATCAAGTTCTCTTTCGGGATCGTTAGGTTCCTCCCATAGATCTTCCTCCAGTTCATGGTCCTCATCCATAGGCTCATGCTCTTTGGTGAGATCAGCAAACTGGCCTGACCTACTTGAAACACTTTGTTCTGCGTTTTCCAGCTCTGGGTGCAATCTCCCTTCGGCTAGGGATCTGGCAAGGCTTCTAAACTCAGCTTCGTCCTCTGGGACTGGTCTCAAACCTTCTGGACTGCAACGGTACAGATATCCATTGTAGGACACCCAAACCACACGTGGCGTGGGACCACCGCTTTCACTTTCTGTGCCTACCACTTTTCCTGGTCCAATCCAAACACCATGTCTAGTAGAAAGGAGACCCCTGGCTCGGCGTCTGAACACATAAACCAGTTGACCTACTTGGTAAGGGCCCCTTATTGGTCTAGATCTTCCCCCTATGGCACGGCGCCATATGTCTTTTGCATGCTCTTCATGGAATGCAATTGCGGCTTGCTCTCGAAGTCTTACTTTTTCGTAGAAATCAGGACTTTCGATGATTTGGGAAGCAGTGGCTATGTTGTGTTGTTCATCTAAATCCCTCAACATTCCTACTTGGCGACCGTCTTTTCCAAGGAACCATTGGGAAGGACTGAATCCACATCTTCTCAACTGCTCATTTCTGGTGGTGGCACAAGTCTCTATGACCTCTTTGGCAGGTCTGGAAGTGGTTCTCCAGACACGTTGGGCCATATGTCTCAGCACGCGGTTGGTCACCTCGACCAGTCCAAGCTGCCAGTGGGATTCTGCAGCAGCCAGCAAAAGCTTTATGTCATTTTGGGCAAGGTAATTTTGAAACTCCTTACTGACATTGGCCATTGCAGGGTCCATGTATATCGTATTGGGAAGGCCATAAGGTCTGGCCCACACATCATGAAATGCTTCGGCCATGGAATGGCCTGTTGGGCATATGATCTGCTGGGCAAAACCGGTGGCAAGGCAAACACATGTCAGTACATTATGTTTTATCTCCCTCATTACCCCTTGGTTATCTTCCCGTTTAAGTTCTACCTGGACATAATCCATTCCAACTATGTCATTAGGATTTTCAGCATGGGGCATGGTGGCTTGCCTACGGCTCTGGGGAACCTTAAGCTCTTCACAAACGGAACACTTGAACTGCTTGATGGCTGTCTGCATTTCCGCTGAGGACTTGCAACGCTTGGCTAAACGCAACATTTGCTCTGGTGAAGCATGACCTGTGTTCACATGAAGTTTTTGGACGATTGCTTTGATCTTTTGGCTAACTGCTAAGGGCTGAGGCTCGCCCTCTTGGTATGGAACCATTTCATCCGGCTGCTGCTGTTCCATTTCTTCATCATCATCTTCATCAAACAACACATCATGTGACATGCATGGGTCTATGTTCACTTCGGACATGACTTCGGCTATGATGCGACACATTTTGTTGGGATAAACTTCACACCAAGACGACAAGTTTCGACCCTTGAATTTACCTTCCAAGTGCGCATGACCATGTTTGTGATCGCAACGACATGAAGTCAACCTATCAGCAAGTTCCTTCATGGTGGTTATGATCCTAGTTGGCTTTAGCACTGGAACATTTGTCTTGGGGCATCGCATTCCTACACTGCACATGTCAATGCGTACATCGAAAACTTCACCTACAAAAATCTCGGACCATGCTTCTGAGGTGAGTGGGTTTTCTGCATGACAATGTCCTCCGAGCAAACGTTGAAGTTGCCAGGCTTCAGAAACTGCACGCAAGTGGCGCCTTGCTTCCTTTCTCTGCTGCAAAACTGTGGATTCTGACTTGCCACCCTTGGCAATGTTGAAACGGCTCCAGGGTCCCCAGCAACCACATGGAAAAGAAAACCAAACATGTTTCGGCCTTACAACAGCTAACAGGTACATGAGCAAACGTCGGTCCTGAAGTCTGTTGAAATCTTGTCCATGGTTCAAACCCAAAATGATACTGCTCTTACCAGTACGTTCGGAAACTTTTCTGGCAAGTGGTGCATGGTCAGTGAACACCTCGATCATGTGAACTGGGCTATCTAAGGCTGGAGCTTGTGGACCTAACCAGTTTCTCAACTCGTCAAGAACCTGATCGTACTCATCATGAAGCCGGGAAAGGATCACCTGGGTATTCAGTTTTCTTATTGATCTTATGTTCTTCTTAATCCTATCCCCCACAGTTTTATCCACTTTATCCCTGTTACAGTTAACCCAATCAACTTCTTCATAGACCGTTTCTAATCCGGGTCCATCGGGAATGGACGGTTGCAAACTTGGGTCAACATCTTCGCTGCAGCAGAGACAATGGCATCCGGAATGTTTCTCGGATTCAGGCTTCGGCGGAAGCTGCACACCTTGCACTGGGATGTAAACATACAGGGCTATGTTGGTCTGTACAACTCTGGCCTTCTCACTGCCTGCGGCACGGGTGTTCCATGGCTGTATGGACATCTCACCCTCACTGGTCAGGGTTGCGATACTTCTCAAGTATGGCTGCTTATCAGCATCTTCTGGAATACGTTCCAAACGTGGCCTATATGCTACATATGCATGCGTGCATTCTGAGGCTCTACTTCCAAACAACTGGACAAGTTCATTTCTAAACCTATCCACATTTACAACACCCTTCCTAGTGTTCTTCACAACATGTTGCAAAACTTGCTTCCTAGTTCGACGGCACGGCGGTTTGTCACGCCTCTCCATGGAACTGGATGTTGTGGCATCTTCTGCGGCTTTGTCATTGGGCTCATTGCTTGGCACTGCTGATTCGGATCCAGCAGTCTCGGACTCTGACATGGAGACAACATCAGGTGAGCCATCCGTGGCATCGTAGATGTCCACATCGGCACTTTTGCTCGAAGGCGGATATGTTGGCTCAAACTCTGAAGGCTCATCACAAAACGGTAAAAGGAAGTGGCCATTTGCAGCACGTTTCAACGGCACATCTTTCATACCATGCTTGGTGCTACTGATTGTTCCCTTCCCCATATCCAAATTGGCTTCCATCCCTTCCAGAACTCGCCTTGATAAGAGAAAAGGTGTCGGGCCATTGACCACATACGTTGTGATAGTACCCCAAAGTTCTCCAATCTTCACTGTCCATTTCAGTCCATAGGTGGTGATTCTACGGTCCCCACTGAAGCCTTTCAACTCAACAGCTGGCAAAGTGCACTTTTCAGGGCTAGGGAGGCCCTTCTGCTCGAAGAGTTTCTGGAAGCGAACTGCAGTGTCAAGACCTATCACGCTTGTAGTGCATCCAGTGTCAATGATTGCACACCCATTGGGAATGGAGGCCAACAAAACATCCAAGGTAGGACTCTCGTTGTTCCACTCTTGTGTGACAACCATATAAGCAAAGTCAGTGGCTACGGTCCCAGTGGTGAAATGGGCATCTTCTTTCCGTGGCTGACGCTTTGGCGGAAACACTTTTTGCTGCTTGGACTTGTCATATCGGAACTCTTGTTTCTTTGGTGCAGATGAGGCATTGGCAGGCTGCAAAGTGCTGGCACTGCTGTCACCTGGCTGACTCAAGGCAACTACTGGGTAGTATGGCTGTCTTGCTTTCTTTATTTCCTTGACCCTTCTACGGCTTTCTTTGTAGGTCTTGAATGACTTCTTGAAGTCTTTCTTGGCTTTTTGTTTCATCTCATATATCTCTTGCAACTCCAAGCCGGAATCATTCTCATCTTGGTCAGGAGGACCTTCAGCATGTTGATCGGCCATGTATGCATCATCGGAACCTGAACCACTTGTCAAAGGCTCTTGCAGATCGGACGAATCATCTTCCATGGCATGTACATCGTGCTCCCGGTGGGCAACTGCATATGATTCCCGTCGGGGAGTACGGGAACTGCCATGGTGCATGTGTGGGCGTCTTTCATCATGACGGCTGCGGGATTCATCAAAATCGGAGGCACGGAGAATCCTCTCGACTTCTGCAAAGCGGGATGAACCGCCAGTGGCACGGATGACTTGGGCTCTCTGCTCTCGGCTCAAACCATATTTGCGCATGAACAAATGACCCAAAACAGTGGACGGAAAGATCGGCGAAGGCTTGGTGTGGCCAACCTCTATGGTTCCTAGCATGTATGCCATTTTCAGCTCTTCTTTCTTTCTATCACCTGAGTGCGTACCTCTGGAACCTCGACTGCTATGACGGCGACGTCTCTGCTCGGATGTATCATGACTCCGGGCAGTTCTCTGCTCATCAGCATCACCAGGCGGTGAGGCTGCGGCTTTCGGTGCAGGGGTTTCAGATCGCACACTACCTGCTGCTTGGCCGGATGCTTCTGCGGATGCATCAACTGGGGCGGCTGCTGGCTCACGACTGGTTGATCCTGGTTCGGACCCATCATCACTAGGTTCTAAGCTGCTATTGTCGGGCTCGGCACTGGCAACAGAACTCTTTCCTTTCTTTCCAACTTTCTTGGTCTTGGCTGTTGACCTCTCCTGGGCTATCAGTGCTTGAACTCGGGACAAGGCTGTTTTGAACCTCGATGCAAAGGCTGTGGCACCTTCATGGGGCTTTTTCCGCAGGTCAAACAGGAAGCTATCTATTGCTTCATGCAACTCAGTCTCTGGCAAGAAGGCATAGTGGGTATCCAAGGCTCGAATGACTTGCAACCAACCATCATTTCGGCGCAAGTCCGCAACTGCTAAGTGTTCAGTGGCTCGGTAGGCTTCTCCTTGAAGTCTCGTGAGCAACCTCGGTCCAGCTAAATGCACATGTCTTTCCTCTAAACCAGCTACAGCAAGGATTGTCTTTCTCCGGAATTCTCGGTAATTACCAGGTCTGCCATCGAAGACAAGATCTCTGAATGATCCAGAGTCCTTCTCCATGTTGATCAGCACCAAAGGTCGCGGTGCTGCACGTGTTGACCTTGATGGCCAAACTCACCAGCAAACAGCGCTGGCGCACGGATGCCCTGGCTTGGAGCCTAGGGCTCCGCTACCATGCGGAAGCACGGGTAGCGGCCCAACAGCTATGGGGTTACCTACCTCTAGCTCCTAGGTCAAATGACCTCACAAACAACGCTCACCCTCTTTTCTACCATCCAGCCAATAGAGGCTCAAGGCCTGTCCAGCCGATATGCAGCGGCATCACGAATCACTTCCAACCTGAGGCATGAAAGGATCGACAGATGCATTGGAAATTTACATATATATATATATATTACATATGTATATATTGGAATATATTGGAATATGATGCAAATGTGTCCAAAATTATATTACTATAAGGGTAGCATATCCCAATTGATGATATCTATAGTAATTTTACAGGGAAACATGATCATACACCCTAATAAACATGATTTTCATGGATCATGGAGTAGCAGCTTATTTTTGGACACGGCAATTTGCCACGACTGGGATCTTCCCAGGCGGAACCACTGTGGTCATACCACACGGAGTCAAAACCATATGGGATCCGTAGTTGCGTGTTGGCGAAATGGCAATGGCGAAATGTTGAACATCCACACTGACTTTTCCTGGTTTTGTTTCATGGCTATGTCCCGCAAGCAACACCACAGACTAACCTTAGAAACTGACCCGAAAACGAATAGATGCACTGCACCAAGGTTTCGGTTAGCTATCCAGATGGGAGTCAAGTGGAGTACTCAACGGAGCCTCTTGGAACGTCAAGGTCTCACCACTGGCCGCGGTGTTCTCATACCTCGGCAAATCCATGCATTCAATGCCCTGGCCTTAGAAAAAAATATCAGAAACGGCTGATCCACTATTTTTATATAGCCAAATATATCCAAATATGATGTTTACCCTCTGGTAAACTAACATAGCTATGGAAAATCACCATTTTTCATGGGAAAATCCACTATAAATGGTGATTTTCCCATTAAAAATGGTGATTTTCAACAGCTATGTTAGTTTACCAGAGGGTACTTGTTCACTTCAAGAAATGGATCATCTCAGATCTCTCGGCCCAAGGCACCGGTATCGTCCGGTCGTCATGTCGCGGAACTTGGGGCAGAAGATGCCTTCCGCACTGTGGAACCTCCAGTTCAGAAGGGGCTCCAGTGACTGTGGGATGCCTTTTCTAGATGATTCACTGATGATTTGCGGTTAGAAAAATATGTGTACTGTATATATATATATATACCAATGCGTTATATGATGTTGTATGTATATCTATAAAGATATATAAAGTATTGTAAAGTGTGATCTGACTGTTTCTGACAGACACCTAATGCTTAGGTCCGTAAGTCTGTTACAGTAGTTTTTTCAAAGTAAAGCTGTTCAGTTTCTTGGTTCCAAATCAGTCCTACCCCTTCAAAAGGCCGGGCAGCGTGCTTGCTTGCCCAAATGCGCAAACCGCCACAACGTAGCCCAATTGTTTCAACATGTTTTAACCATTGTATTTCTGATTGGGTATGTCTGAAATTGGGTATACCCCCAATTATAGCCATTTAGTAGGGATAATGATCATTAACCATTGGGATCCATTGGGTGTAGGGGTACACTATTTTCAGACAAACCCATTGTTTGCTATCGCAAATGGCTCTAAAAACAGCCAAAAACCATCCCGTGTTTTGGTGTTTGGCACCAGGACATCGCCCAGGCACCGACTCTCGATGGTGGTGCTGGGTTCCATGACCACTGGGGCACCACCGGCTTTGGAACAGGTGTACTTGGAACGGGCCCACCGACCTCGCAAAATCCGGCCCAACGGACGGGACGTGGCCCATGCAACATTTGGATGTTTCAATGATCTGGATAAGGACGAATAAGGACGAATAAGGACGAATAAGGCCCTTTCGGGATGACCCACCTATCATTTCTAGTGTGACGTGGCAGAGAAAGGTTATAATTGATGTAGATGTATGTGTCTAGTATGTCATATACAGTAAAGATTGCCTATTAATTAATGCATATCATCAGTATCATGAATGCAAATGCGGTGCTGAAAATGTGACGGTAAGCAATCACTTTTATGACTCACCAGTATGGTGCGGGTAGACTGACGTGGAATGGGTGATGGATGTGGATGTGGATGTGGACCCTTGGAGTTCCTATGGACCTCAAAAAAGCCGATACTATCCAATCGCAGGGATCGGCAAACATGGCAATGGAAAATCATGAAAAATCCACCATTCACAAAGGCTATTTCCAGCTATAAACCTCCATTTTTCGTGCAGCAATTTAGCGTTAGCCACGTTTGGATCTCTGGCGCCTCCTTCCGAAAACTCGAAATGGAAGCCGCTCAGCAGGGCATTCTCGCCGCAGTCCACCTTCAGCATCCTCGCCGTGCAGGTTGTTTAACATATGGAACATGTCAAAATGTCCCTTTTTGAATGGATGACTCATGATGATCTACCATGATTTTACCTAACGAAAAATCGGATTTCATGAAGTTCACTACTATGTTTTGGGGGGATTTCGACCATTTGACCTGAGCTTAGCTGCTGTTTGTGCTGATAAACCATCCCCAGTCGTTTCAGATAAATCCCACATACCCAGAGACAAAGATCATCATACGACTCATATGACTCTATGGCCCACAGGATAAGTATGTCCAATATTGGGGAAAAAAACACCATGTTCAAACAATTGGGAAACAAAAATTGGAGCATGGCAAAACTGTGGTCAACTTGGGAACATACCATTAGCAATATATATATATATATAGCTATAGGCTATAACAATAGCATAAAGATAGGAGTGGCCAGGTATATCCTGCTTTTTAAGGCATGACTTGACCGTCCTGACAGCTCCAAGCCAGTTGTTTCGTACGTGGTCAAACTTCGTGACTTCCACCTGCGTCGCTGCGAAGTTCAACTAAAACCACGTCGTGACGTCGTGATCGACCAGATGGCAAAAAACATCATGACTCGGAGCCCAGACTGAATTTTCAGTATCGAAAGCTCCAAAATGTCCTGTTACTTTGCCTTGGCACTTCAATGATGTTGGCCATCCCGGCATGTGGATTGGTAATGATTCTTCACATTGCTTTACGGCTATGGTTTCAGATCACCTCTTGCTTCGGCGAAGTTCAGTACTACCAGTCACATGTCGCCCATGGTTTTCCATCTGGGAATCGGTGACCAGTGGTGACCAGCATCCGTCGCACCTGTGCACTGAAGTATTCGTACTGGATGCCCAAGCCTCCAATGCGGCTGCACTCGAACCTGAAAAAAGGCACTCCGAAGAAACCAGTGGGAGGGGCGTCATGGACGCCCCGTTCAGAAACCTAGCTTCAGATTTCTGGAACAAACAGTTGGGTGATTGTCAGTCAAAACTTAAGAGGTCTGGGTATGTTCACCTCACGCAGCTAGATTCGTCTGGAAGAAAAAACACGATGCTCGTCTTGATTGGGGAGGCCGTTATTGATCTCTGTCAAAGATGGTTGCGCGAAATACTATCTATCTATACGTACATATATATATATATATTACATATATATTATAAATATATATATATATATATAATATTATATATATACAGTAAGGACTCACAGGTGCGACTCTTTTTTGCATGTGGAATAAACATGCCATTTTCAGATGGCTCCGTGTCTTCAGGGATTCTCCGTTCATTCGCAAGCGCCGCCCAGCTGCATGTACTTGTTGGAGCCGGACTCGAGTTTGAAACCTCTCATGGAAGGACGATCCAAAGGCGGGTCTCGAAGGGTCAAACACTGCCAAACTGGGAAAACAATGGTAGGTGTGTCATAGGTATTGGATAGTATAGCTATGGCTTTGCCAATTCTTGTAGTCAACTATCCCAGTTCATCCCAGTTCTTCTAAGTCAAGAAGAACTAAGCCAATCACATATCCGTACTCTGACCCGCCATCCAGCTTGGTCAACCCCTGTCAACTGAATTTTGACCCACAGGGCAATGTTCAGTCAATGTGCCCATGTGGTGAGAGACGTTGAGAGGTCGTCATATAAATCATCCAAGAGTCTCTGGTCCTCACGTAATCCCAAGCTGTTGATGGATTTTGATGGAGGGGTTCGTCAATTTTTCAAAACCCATCTAAAGGTCTACTTTGCACAAACTTCAAAATGTCATGGGTCACACCTGCCTAATTACCCACAATCACATCTGCAGGCCTTTCGGAGTGCTTGAATCCCTGAACCCTACCGTTTCCCACGGGTGTTTACCCATGCCGAAACCACCGTTTTCCCCAAAACATTCCGCAACGATCCGCAACATTCCGCAACCTGTCAGTGCTTCGCCCGGAGGACAAAGAACTGGGTTGTCGGCCAACAAGGTGTTCCTCAGCAAAAAGCACTGCTGTTTGATAAGGATCTAATGGGGGTTATATATATATATATAAATGGGTGTTCATGGGATTTCCCAATGTTTTCATGGGAATATCATGGAGATTTTTCACAGCTGCGACTGAGGGAGGAACGGAAACATTGAGACAAGATGATTTGCCAATTTTGGCCTGGTTCAGTACTGTATCTGTTCATTGTGGAACCCAATATTAAGGGGCATTTATTCTTTGAGGATGTTGGAAAAAACAAAGACTTCAACCATCAGCGACTCAAGAAACAACCACCATCAGCTGCTGCCGCCTTCTTGTAAGTTGGTTTATAAATCCCACTAAATGTAGTGACAACCACCTGCAGTATTGAAACTACTTAGACACCCAACTTAGCCAACTGGCCTTCCAAGTACCAATGACATCAATGACCTCCTTAGAAAACTGCCACAACAGCGCCACCAATGACCAACTTCGGTTCAGCTTCCAGTTGGGCCAATCCCCACTGGTCTTGTCGTAGATGATCCCCGTCTCCACCTCAAGTGTGGTATGTTGAGCCGAACAAAATCGGACTTCAACAACAAACATCAAGGTAGAATTCCCCTTAAGATCTACAGTTATATAACTTATATAACTTATATATCAATATTCCCACAAAATCCAAATGACCCGTATTTTCACCATTGGATTCTCGTGGATTCTGGCTTCTGACGACCAAAAAGGTCGGAGGGGGTGCGACATGCGTCCACTGCGTCCACGCCACGAAAGTTCCAAAGCGGATCACTGGCGCGAAGTGACATTCCGAGACCTTCCTGCCGGATAGATAGCTAGATAGATAGATAAATGGATGGATAGACAGATTGATTTTCCCCACAGGATCTCTTCAAAAAAAACCACCAAAAAAATCTGCCGAAGATCTGGTGCCGGGTTTTGCTGGTGCCCCCTTTTTCGATGATCCCTGATGGGTCAACGTTTAGTTGAAAATGGTGCAAAACCTTTTTGGTTCCCGAAAATGATCTACATTCAAGCTGGGTTGGAAACCACATCTGGCTAAATTGTAATAGTTTTAAAAAAAACCTAAAAATAGCTGAAATATGGCCAGCTATGAGGTATTCCGGGTTCATAGTTCATTGGTTAATATTCACTGTAATTCCCTTACAATTCCCAGCTATGGGGATGATTTCCCGATTGAAAGCTCCACTTATAGTGGGATGTATCTATATGTCCCCCATAGTTTCCCTATATTTTCCCATGATGTCCCATATATGCCCATATGTTCCCTGTATTTCCCCATATTTTCCCCATATGTTCTCCGTATCTTCCCATCATTTCACCTAGGACCATGGATCACCTGGATATGCGGCGCCGGCTCTCGCCCGCGAAGATCTGCTGAAACGCCAAGCTGGACAAGGCTCCATGAGCACCTAGGCTCTCGCTTGACATGGATGGTTTAATCATGGTGGTTTTACAATGGAATGTGAATGAGATATGAATTTTATATGAATGGGGTATTCAATTGGATAATCATATTGGCAATAAGTAAACAGATTGTAAGTACGTAATTTTACACTAATCCACATTGGGAGACTTATACTTATGCGTATTTGGAGAAAATATGAATGGGTTATCAATGGCATTAATAAATTGTATATTCGGATATTCATATGAATTGTTTTTCTCAGTGGTTATACTATGATACACCACTATTGTTATAGTTGTTTATTTCAATGGGATATTCTGGGATAACAAGCATGATTCATAAATGGTTTTAAGTAAACCATTCATAAGCAATTAATATTACACTAATCCACATTGGGGTAATTATCCATTATTAATGGGATAATTAACCCCTACTACAATGATGTTTAGCAATAAATGGTATATTAATTGTCAATATTATAGTATATCAATGTGTATTAGTGGTTTATCGTATCAATTACACTTATTAATTTTGACAATGAATTATGTACAATGGGATAGACTCGGATAATAACTAATAGTGGCATATGTAGATATTATGTTGATATACTGGAAGAACAAGTAATCATGGTATATGTATATAATTGTTATTTACGATTTCGCATATTACATAAAACAAACAATTCATTACCAAGTGTATAAATGAGTGTACATATATACCACATATACACTATCATGTGTCCAAAAAGGATAAACGTCTGTATGTGTGTATATATATATATCCTATATGAATTTATCTGCACAATGACAGTTTAAATTACCCAATGAACGGTTTATTACATATATTCTATGGGTAATAGAATGAGGATATAAATGATAATCATGGGATATCATGGGATATATACAGTAACCAATTCATCTTCGAAGGGTTTGTCTGAAAAAGAGAAGAAAAAACCTAAAACCATAGGTTGATCAGCATTTTGACACATGTTCCCCTGAAAAAAAAACCTCCATAGGTTGATCCATTTTGGTGGTATACCGTTGTAACCGTTGAAAAAACCCTATTGAACAAGACCCAAATTTAGCTGGACCAGATGGGGAGACCCCATTGGGATGATTTTCGTAAATCGCCGGTGGTCATTTCCCACGTGCAAAAAACTATAGATAACTTAGATATAGTGAGTTTTTTTCCAAAGAAAAGGTGTCGGGTCAAAATATATGTCAAATTTAAAACGACCCCACCATAAAAAGTCGATGAGTCAATAGAAACTGACGGCTTTCCTGGTTGTAATTCTTAAATGTCGAGCCGAGGCGCCACAGAAGGAGCTGTAGGCCAAATGCACGTGCTGGGCACTGCGCTCGAACTGCTGATGCATACCTCGACGGAGAGGAGGGACCCATCAATGGATTGGGAAAATCTGCAGGAAACTGTTCTTGACCTCCAAATACAAGGCTTTTCCTGTGGATTTTCCGTAGAGAAGTACAAAGTATGTAAATACGATCCTCCTAAAATCATGAAAAAACCCAAACGAAATCTTGGTTTGCATTTTGGGGTCCGAAACGTTGAGGGTATCTGACATTGCGGATATGGATAACTATGGATGAGTAAAGTGGTATTTCCAGCATTCACTTTGGGGTAACCCAAGACATCCCAGGACATTCGAACCACCGACAGTAGAATTCTCCAACAACAATGGCATTTGGAAGAAGCATGAAGAAACGGTGGACGTAGCATGGGCATCCATGGGCTATCACTGCCAGATATCGACAACCTGGAGATCGAAGTGGTGGAATCCCTTCAGTATGGGCCCACTGTTGTATTGTCGAAGTGATGTAGCACTCATGATCATTTACTGGCAAAAATGGGGCTTGGACAACCTAAAAAAGTGGGAACATGAACGAACTAACCATGAAATGTGCGTAGAAACGATCTTCACAATAGTGCGTTGCTGTTCGATACTCCAGTCGTCACCATCAGAAGGTGCATTCCTATCAAAGAACCAATCTAGTTCGCACATCCACGGGTGGCAACTTTCAGAAACCGGAAATCATGGCACAGGAATTGATGCCGGTTATATCCCCACCGTTCTCCCATCTCTGTCCGTTGTCTATATATGTATATATAGCCATGTTCTTCTTTGATTATATCTTGTTCCGGCAGTGAGCGTGTCTGAAAATGGGAGTTATACCGCAAGATTGTCATGTTCCTTTCGGGAATAATGGAAAATAATGAGAAAATGATGAATATATATATAATATATATATATAATATATATATATATATTATATATAATATATATATATAGTATATATATAATATATATAATATATAATATATATAATATAATATATATATAATATATAATATATATAATATATAATATATAATATATATAATATATTATATATTATATATAATATATATACATATATATATATATAATTATATATATACATTATTTAGGGCTACCCTAAGATCACCAGTTCGATCACCTAATCGGGCATCTCCAAGGTGCTCCAGATGAGGCTTGGCAAGGCCAGCGGATTGACCAACTGCGAAGACTTGTCTTGATCCTCGGTGCTTCACCAGGTGCCCCAGTTTCCTATGGCTTTCCTATGGCTTTCCTATGGGATCCCATGGGTCACCGAAAAGCTGGAAACTGAGCGTCAAAGCTTGGGGCTTTGAAAACTGGTCAATTTAGCACCAAGGACGGAGTCCAGCGAGTGAGAAGGTGGAGACTCTCAAGTTCCAATACTAAGCCATGGTTTTTCGGGTCAGGAGAAAGGGATCATTGGATCATGGCATATCATGGCAACATGCCAATGTTAAATACAAATTGCAAGTTGCCAGCAATGCTTGAAATGGATCGCCAACAACTTGAGATACCTTGGTTCCTAGGGTTAAAGATGGTCTCTTGGCGCGTCATTCCTCCAGCACATGCATGTTGTATTATGTTGTGTGTACATGTGTAATTATGCATGTATCATCCTGTTGTGTGGTTTATGTTTCACATAAAAGCTTGGATTTCCAATTGAATTCCAAAAAATACATCACGAAAATGGACTCTTCTCAGCCTACCCAGACACCATCTTGAGCCCGAGAGGCGCACGGATAGCGGAAGAGAAAGGGGAAGTTGCCTCAGCACTTCATGGCAGGAAATTTCACCTCCAACGTCAACATACTTATCCAAGTCACTTATCCAAAGCCCACTTTTTTTTTGTTTTTGTGTCTCTGACAATGGGAGATGGACCCCCCAATTTGGCCAGTGACTGGAAAAAATCATGAAAAATCTGATCAACCAGTGGAATTTGATTCGCACTGGCGAGCCGAGGAACTTTCCTTGCCAACTTGCATGCAATCACCGGTGGTATTATCCTCAGCTTCTTCGCTTCTTCGTGCTGGGCTTATACCCACTAATGTTGCTGGCTAGATGGGGGTTTCCCCACGGCAATCCAGTAGGAATCCAGCGATGATCGCAACAGGTGAGTTTTCACTTCCACATTGGATCTTCTCTCCACGACTTTTTTTACAAGTGAAAACTTACTGGATTCCCCCAGAATTTGAACGAAAAACAAGTGGTTTGGTTTCAATGCTCGACTCCCCTCTGCCAAACCTAGCGATGAATACTTGTTCAGTCTTAGTCGAAGGGTTATCGCCTTTATCACAGTTGTCCATTCGCTACCGTTGGTCCGAATCGGGTCTCTCCAAGTCCAAGTCCAAGTTTGATGGCCATGAATCGATCGTCCCACCCCCTGAAAACAAACGAACATCTCGAACGCCGACTTGAAGATCTTTACAAGATCCGATGATCCA